ATCCTTATTAAATTTTACATCTAACAAATCTGGTTTATTACTATTCATTCATCTTAAGCCAGTCTCAGTGGATAGTTTCATCTTATTGTTTCCAAGACTGTCATATCATGTATAATGAAATAAAACTCGGATGAAACACACATTCTCAATGCAAAGTTTTATTCTAAAGTTTCATAGACATTTAATTTCAAGACTCATAAAGTGTTGGTAATCATGCCAAACTTATTTTTTTCTCTCTTTTTAAATACACTGTTATGTTATAAAAAATACTTATATGGCAACCTATTTAATGCAAATGAAACTTATATGAAACTCCCACCGAAAGTGGCTTTACACGTGGATCTATATCATTATACACGGAGAAACGTCGATGTTTGCAAAGAGCCTTATGCCCCTCGTCCAAATTTTTTCACCGTGTTTCTTACCCCCAAACAAAATAAGCTCGACGTCCTACCCAACAATTTTTTTCTCACTAAAGATTTTCTTGACCTGCCCATAGGCTATGCAGCTAACAGCACGACAACCCAGCCCGAAGCACGGCTTTTTTTTTTCTCCTCAGGCATGCCGGATGACACAGCACGGCTTGCTAAAATACACCAGTCCTAACAAGGCCCGCTAGTCAGTCAAAGATTATACATGCATCAGGCTCTCGCGCTTCCTCAGATTAGATAGATGGATCTCTTTTCTGAGAAAAGATATAGATAGATATAAAAGAAGATTTTCTAGGGTTTTCGGCCCACCAAATGTTCCATGGCCCATATATAGATTCAAGCGTTCTTTTCTCCGACGCCACTTTACAAAGACAAGCCAGGAAGGCTGATGATTGATTGGGACTACAATCAGTCTTTGGCTTTTCGCTACCTTCCAAAAGACTCGCTAGAATTGAGGAGGCCCTGTACCATGATGCTCCACTCCAGCTCAGCTATGCGCCAAGCAGGCGGCAGGCCGGCACCCGGCAGTGGAGGTCCCGGGCTCTGCTCCACTGGACGGCGAGAATAGACACTCTCTCCGTCTCCGATGCCATCGGGCTGATGGTTTCTCCGATGCCATCGGGCTGATGGCTATTAAAGCTAATTTGTTATGAGAAAAAAGATACTGTGATAAAGTTCAAGCGAACAAGGCGTTACCTGGTTGCAGCCACATGCAGATGCAGGAACCAGTACTACTCCGGTAGTTGTGAAGACAACTAGAGACAAACTCCCTCGATCTCTGTATAAGTCAATTTTTCTATAGTTGTCTTAAGTTAACTTTTTATGTTTCATATAATTTGTAGAAAAAGATTATAACGCTAAATTACTATTATTAGATATACCATAAAATATATTTCCTAATATGTTCATTTGGTCTATAAATATTTATACTCTTTTCTCTATAAATTTAGTTAAATATAAAACAATATTTTTAAAGCAACTCTAAGAATCAATTTATTCCAAGATGGAGCCTCCATTTTGGCATGGAACATGCATCAGACAAGCACTAATGCTATAGTCTAATGCCAACAACCTCTTTGGTGGTCTCATACATTGACACTAATAACTATACTCTAAATTATAATTGTTTAAAATATGTTACATTGGTTAAGCTTATGCATTTTCGAATTTTTTTTCTCAAAAAAAGCTTTTGCATTTTGACTACTTAATACTAGTAGTGTATTTTCAAGCACTTTATTTTTTATAAAACAATACTACTACACATATAGTTCTTTCATAGATAAAATTCAACATCTTAAGTAAGTGTCATGATGCAGGTTGAAATGACTGTTTATACATTGTAGTAGCTAATAATTGAGTCTAACTAAGATCTACAATCCCTTTTTAATAAAATAATAGACAACCAAATAAAACATTCAAGAAGCACTGGAATTTAAACTTAACACATGGATTAAAATTTGAACTAATAACATCAAAAGTTGAAAGCCAAAATATAGATTTATGGTGTCAAAAAAATGTAACAAGAGCTTATATAAGTTAAACTAAATTTTTAACTAATTACATCTTAAAATCTGTAAAGTTGCTATGCAAAGGATAAAGCACATATAAATAATTGAAAAGTTACTAGAACTAGATAGAGTTTATAGATTAATAGTAATTAGAAAATTTATTATTAAAACTAGATATGGATTATAGAGTATCTAAATAGGTATTGGGCTAGGAAACGAAGAGCGAGACATTAAAGATAATCAATTTTGATTAATTATAGTCACTAAATTCATACATAAATGTTTAATCTTTGTGTATATAACATCCAAGGCCGTGCTGGAGCATGGTTGGATGGTATAGTGGTCTATAATATGATAGTTTGGCTAGTAATATCTGCAAAAATATGTTATTTCAATAAGAATAGCAATATGTTATGAACTTTACTTGTCACAAAAAGAAAAATATGAAAATGTACTCATGAAAGAATGTACACAGTAACATCAATCAATATGATTATATTTCTAAATATTAGTATTCAATTCTCAATCGACAACATTTCTAAACTAACAGCTTATTTTGAATCAGAACCGTACCAGAGTAGTTAATTACACCTAATGTACTTACTTTGGATAAAGTTCGAGTCGAACTTTTAAATTTCATCATCAATAAGATTTAAAAAAAAACTCATTTTCAAAACATATAAAATCTCCACACATATCAATGTTGTTCTAGTGATCCGGTCCTAGGTACCACCCTATGTTCCAAATTACATAATAAAAGTTATGTATGAAATGCAAAAACGGCCTATAAACTAGAACGGAGCGAGTACTCAGTAGCCAGTAGAGTGCAAACCTTACTGTTGCAATTTATAGACTATACAAAATTTGGGTAACACAAAATTACTTGTTTTGGGACAACGATGGATCAGAAGCTATATACATTTGTTTGACCCGTGTTTGTTCATGGATCACACAACTAACAGATCCCCGGAAAGCCTGTCTGAAACTTGTGATGGTTCATAGGGTGATGTGTGTGTGTCTGTAACATGATTTGGAAAAGAAAAAAAAAAGGAAATTGCCAGTTAAATTTGGTATTAAAGTCGGGTGATAAGTTGGGCCAAAGTTTATATTTTAGTATAAAGAAAAATATATATAGATTAAGCCGGCGATAAGTTGAAGCGGACCGACATTTAGCAGCGTCAATTATTCAGCGGGGCTCACACGCACAGCGGCACAGTGCAAGTACGGTGGGCTCTAGCACTTCAGGAAAATTCAATTAACGCTGTGTATGAGAGAAAGATGGGGTACAGGTGTTAAAAAAAATACAGAGGACTGTCAATTCATTTTTGTACTGTCCTGTGGGATCCCTTCTCACACCTGCGAACCGTGTGTGCTTGCACTACCGCAAATCAGTAAATTTCTTAGGACTGATAATAAAGAGCACAAACTCGGAGTTGATCGAACGCCTAAAAGCTATCCGTTTTACGGTCCCGGGTCAGATTAGTAATCAATGAACGGAAGGATGAGGCAGGAAAGTTAAATTGCACGCTGTTAAAAGAGTGCTGATGCTATAGGTACGCAACCTTTAGAGCATCTCTAGCAAATGACTCTTCAAAATAGGTTCCTACTTAAGATTTTAAGGCTTCTTCAATTTGAGGATTCTATATCCTGAGTTTATTTTTTTGAGAATTACATAATACATCGCAGATGCTCACAACAAGACGTGACACTCGCTTCCTATGAACGCATCGCACGTAAACCCCTACTCCAATAAGCTTCTTCAAAAAAAGCTAGGCCGATAAATCATCGAGATTGACGAAGTCACCATATATCTACTCATTTGTCGATTTGAAGGTCCCCTTACCACCAAAGTGGCAAATCTAGAATAAATTGTTGCCGGGTCAGCACAGACTCATATTGCTCAAACTTGAAGAAATCTAACACTATGCTCATTACATAACATGCACATAAAAATTAATAATAATAACATATTGCAAGTCAAGCATTCATATTCAAGAATCGCCTCCAATATTCTTTTGATTACCAATCCAATGAGACAGCATAATTAAACACTAAAGTATATATTAAGTAACCTGCAAGCACTCATGATAAAGTAGAGCTTTTTACCTGTATGGCCCTAGAAAAAATACCTCTTTCTTATATGGCTTTTTTTATTTGAAATTGCTTGTATGGCCTCGAAACGAAATTTCCTTTCCTTCTATGGTCTTCATGTCTGCTTTTGTCACCGACGGTGTTAAGTCAAGGGTATATTGACCATTTTACCCCTAGCAAAAAAAAATAAAATTAAGAGTTTCAGATTTTGAGTAATATTACTTAAATAAGTTCACACATAACTATATCTCATGGAAACTCTGGTATGCTTTTTTTTCAACACTTCTCCTATATTTAGGTGCCTAAATTTTAAGATAACTTCGGCAACACTTTTGTACAACAAACTAGTAGAACTAAATTGTTATTTTGTGATTTATTTTTTGTCTTTCCATCGTAACATATCAAATTTTGTCCTTGTTCCGACTATAAAAACAATTATAAATTGTTAATTGTCTTTATGTCAACATAAATCGGATTTTATCGAGTTTGTAGTTTGTCAAACGATTTTTTTTTTATTCCGAGCCGAAAAATTGCAAATTATATCTACATAAATTACAACAAACTAAAGCTATAATTTTAGTAGTAAATATATGCAATAACCGGGCGCTGAAAGGCAACTTCCCTCCGTCACCTAAATAACTATTGTTTTCGGCTTCGAGAAACAACTTTGACTAAATATATATAAAAGTATTAATATTTATAGTACATAATTAATATTATTAGATAAATCGTTGAATCTATTTTCATAATAAATTTATTTGAAGATACAAATATTACATGCATTTTCTATCAATCCAGGTCAAACCTACAACACACACCCAAAATGACAGCTTATTTAGGGACCGAGTGGTCAAAATTCAAGCACATGAATTTTAGCAAATCTCTTTTTCCAACATTAGCATCCATACCTTCAGGTCTGGTGAACAAAATGCCTGTATCGTTACTTCAGGTCCAAAACGGTCACGCCGGAATGACATTCAGAGTTCATGGCCGTGTTTGTTGCGACCAAAGCTTGTCGGGCCAGACAAGGTTAGCCTTCTTGAGTCTTTTTGATGTATGTGACGGAATTGACACCTTCACATTATCGAAAACAGTCAGGTAGGTAACAGAAACATTCAAGCTTGCTAGGGATCCGAAAAGTCTCTAAACTGCTCCAATTGCTCTTGCACCTTCACCATATGCATATGATGATGCTATCCGTTATCTCGTGTTCATGCGCTTGCAGGTTTTACACCGTGGATGAGTTACAAGCTCACAGCCATAGTACCACGTACACTCACATGAGTAACAGGACACACACAGCAATGTTGTCAAAATGCTGAACGAACGCCATCAGTCAGGCAGTCCTACACCCATGACCCATCACATCCCACTTCCAGCTGCGGTTTCATCAGGGGCAAGAGACAGGGACGTCCAAGAGAGAGAGAGAGAGAGCAGATTATCAAGCCAAACACGGCGAGAGAGAGAGCAGATCAATCGATGAGCTGTTGCCGGTTCGTTTCTATACTGATAATTTCGGTTGACGTTGATTTGTTGTAAAAAAATATTATTTACTAACTGATAAATTCAATCGAAACCAACGATCGAACAGTCTGAGTGTATTACCAGCCGAGCTGAGCTGATCACCTCTCTCACCGTCCCGTCCCGTTCTCTCTCACAGAATCATCACTCTGCGGCAGTGCACTCTCCTCAGATCTCACAGCCAAAAAGAGGGAGCTTTAACCGCCGGGTACGGTCCGCTCACAGGTAGCCATGACCAGGCGGCGGCCACCACCATTCCCGGGCCCGTGTCGCCGCCGCCGTGTTCCTGCTGCTGCTGAACCCGCCCCCGACCTCCCAGCTCGGCCTGGGCGCCGCCATTGCCGCCTGGATCCACGGCTCGCCGCCGCCTCCCTAGCCTGACGACACCGCCGCCGCCTCGGGCCCGCGGAGCCAGGAGTACACGGCGCTGCAGGCGCTGAAGGCGGCCGTCACCGAGGACCCCAAGGGCGCCCTGGCGTCGTGGCAGGGCGCCAATGTGTGCGCCTACAAAGGCGTGTACTGCTCCGCGCCGCCGGACGCCGCCGGCGCTGGCGCGTCCGCGGTGGTGGCTGGCATCGACCTGAACCGCGCCAACCTCAGGGGCACGCTCCCCGACGCGGTGTCCCTCCTGGCGCACCTCACGTTCCTGCACCTCAACAGCAACCGCCTCGGGGCGCCGTCCCCGACGCGCTCCGGGACCTGCAGTACCTGACGGAGCTGGACCTGAGCAACAACCTCTTCTCAGGCCCGTTCCCGGCGTCCACGCTGCTGATCCCGTCGCTGGTGTACCTCGACCTCCGCTTCAACGCCTTCTCCGGGGAGCTCCCGCCGGAGGTCTTCGCTAAAGACCTCGACGCCGTGTTCCTCAACAACAACCAGTTCGAGGGCCAGATCCCGGACACGCTGTGGGCGTCGCCCGCCACCGTCATCACGCTGGCCAACAACCGCTTCACCGAGCGCCGTCCCGGCGGCGGCCTACGAGTTCGGCGCCGGGGGCGCCAGGGGTTGGAATCCCGCGAGGTGCTGTTCCTGAACAACAACCTGACGGGGTGCGTGCCCGAGGCGCTGGGCTTCCTCCCCAGCATCCAGGTGCTGGACCTGAGCTACAACGCGCTGTCGGGGCACCTCCCGGGGACGATCTCCTGCCTGTCAGGGGATCGAGGTGCTCAACCTCGCGCACAACCAGCTCACAGGCGAGCTCCCGGACCTGCTGTGCGACCTGCGCCGGATCATCAACCTGTCCGTGTCCTTCAACTTCTTCTCCGGGATCAGCCAGCGGTGCGACCGGCAGCTGGGGAGCCGCGGCGTGTTCGACTTCGTGGGCAACTGCGTGCCCGGGCGGGACATCACAGCGGCCGCAGCCCGAGTGCGACGAGTTCCCGGGGAAGCCGGCCTCAGCTGCCTCCGCATCCCCTGGGGCGCGCCAGCCGGGTGCGGCGGCGGCGGCGACGCGGCGGGCGCGACTATTGGCGTCGGCGTCGGAGTTGGTGTCGGGGGCTGCCGTTCGGCCTGCCAGGCGCCGCCGCCGCCGAGGCGTGGTCACCGTCACCGTGCCGTGATCTGATCTGATCTGGCGGGGGGCACCTTTTGCACCTTTCTTCTTTGGTTTCTTTTCTTACTCTTCTTCCTTCCTTTTGGGGGCAAGTAGCCTCGATCGGCTTAATGGGTGAATATTGGTTCGTTCTCGGCTGGTTAATTTCGCCATTTTGTATGTTGTTTAATCAACACTTCCCTCAGAGCATTGCTCGTCCATCGGTCCATGACAGCGTATGGTCGCTGACGAACTGGGCGGCCAGCTGCAAGCCTGCAACGACGCAAGTGACTGTCGATAGGCATTGCTAGCTGTTGACATATGGTGACGGTGTCAAGTTGTCCGCTTTTTCTTCTCTTTAGAGCTGGATGACGGGGAGGACCGATCGGCCGGAGGAGGCCAGGCTCAAGAGGAGACATTGAGCAAGCTGCGGAGCTGGGAAGAAATGGGAGCCTCGGAAGGTATGTCAATGGGCGCCATGAATGCGGGTACGGAAATGAACCGTTGATGCAGCTAACTACCACTCTCCTATAGGAGTACAGCACAATGCACAGCGAGCGGCGTATGGACTGGCCCTGTGCAGGGCGCCAGGGCGGGGCTCTCGCCTCGCCCGCTGCGTGATGTGTTGGGTTATCTTGCAGACTGTACTGTAGACCTGTACGACCCTTCTTGCGCAGCCGCAAGGTGCTTCATAAAATAGCGTCCGCGGCCACGACGAGAACGTAAAATTTACTGCTGAAATACGTGCACAGGAACCACCTAAAAAATATATTATCTTATTATAGGGAAGTTACCGCGCAGAAACTACTTGGTAGTTTCTTACGGGCACAAGACACCACAACTAGAAACTATTTTTTCAACGAAGTATGTTTTAGAGGGACCTACCTAAAAATCAGAGCAATAATTCTTCTCGCCATTTCTCTCTCTCTCCGATCCTTTTTGTGGTTGGCCTCTGTCAGTGGCACCACCACCACCTCCGTGGTTCCACCCACCGCCACGCCTTTTGTTTCGGTGGCTGTGCGCGGAGATCCAAGCTGGTTTGGTGAGTTCTCGCACCCCTCTCTCATTTTGTCAGCACCACCACCTCCCTCCTCCTCCTCTGTTGCTCCGCCATCGCCACACGCCCTTGGCTAGCAGCTGCATGAGTGACACGGTGGCCGCTTCCAGTTTCTGGATTTGCAGCTGATCACCGCAGGCTTCGACTGTGTGTCTTCAATTCAGGTTCCGTAGTCCCATCTGCCTCAAATGTTACAAGGACATGGAAGGAGAGCCAAGGATTTGCGCCTGTTATATCCTACATGCTGAGCTTAAGACAAGCTTAGAACCTGCTGGAAGAAGGAATGTAAGGAGGTGGAAGGTACTGTAGCACGGCTGGCAATAGAGATCAAAGAGTGGGGGCTGAGGACCAAGTAATGAGTAGTTGGGCCTTTGGTTAGTGGGCTTACAATGGTCTGTTTGTTTGGGCTGTAGGCGGTAATGGCGGGTAAAAATGCCGATGTCTGAACTCTGTGTTAAGGATGAAATGGATAACGAATTCCGGTAAACCTGTCTTGTTCTTCATTCTGTTCTTCTCTGTTTCCATTCTTAAGGTATCTTCTGAATCCTATCCCCATTATCCACCTAGTCTCCCCTTTAGGCACCGATTCGATGCCCAAAACCGGGATTACTGGCGAGATACTAGCGTTTCTTCTTTGTTTTTACTGCTACGTACAGCACTGGCCTAAAACTCCTCTCTGTCGGTCAAAGGAGAATAGAGTTTACAGGCACATATATTCCTTAGAAAAACAAAAAATGATTTCACCAGGATGAATTAGCACGAGCAGTGTTCTGTATTCCTACCGGTTTGGTCGTTGGTACATCCATCGACGACCTCATGATAAATCAAACGTTCACAAATCACGCAAGTTATTATACATATATTAGCACACACGTGCTCACGACGTATTCCACGTAGTAAATAGTAACAAACATTCGTACATTCGCGCAAGTACAGAGGCGATCAAAGATATGACGATGATGCCATCGCTACGACATAACCTGCATGCCTGTTATTGGAGCTTGAATCGCATACTCGCATTCAGCTGACGTAGCATATGGGGTCGGGCACCTTGAAGGTGCGGTCGCCTTCCGGCGCGCTGGTGAGGCCGCTCCACTGGCTTCCCATGCGTTGCCCATTGATGTGGTACCCGGCGTCCACCAGCTTCTGCTGCCTGCCGGACTTGCATGGCACCTCACCGACGAACCCAGGGACGATGGTCTGTAAGGTACAAAACACAGGTGACATAGGGCTGAGAGTATTTTGGTGCATGCAGGGCGTGTGATTTGGGGTTCTGAAAGTGCATGGCCTTAGCGCGGTAGCACTGCGTATTTATCGCATGATGGCCTATACCAGAGAGAGAGTAAGGGCTAAAGTGGATTTAGTAGGGAACAAAAAAAAAACAACTTAGGTTTGTTCCTTCCTTTCTTTTTCTTTCTTTTTTTTTCCTTTTCCTTATAATATTATCTCTTGTGTGCTATGTTTCAGCAATCTACATAGCAAAAATCCCACAGTTTGTACATCGTCCATTTTTTTATATTTAATCTTTGAAACAGGTACTTGTATGCTCTTAACATTTTGATAGGTTGCTCTTCCTCATCCTAATCTGGAATATCTCTCTCACAGGTTCAGCCAATGCCACTCTCCCTTGATGTTGCCACCTTACGGCCACCGACCTCGCCACCTCCACTCACCCGTAGCCGTCACTGCCCTTCTCTCTAAGCTTGCACTTGGTCACTCCTGCCGCTAACCCCGCCCTCCTATTGTCTTTTCTATCCGCTGGCGGCGCTCGTCGCCTTTCTTTCCACCGGTCGAACCGCCCAAAGCGCCACGCCTCCCGAGATCCGTTTTCTAAGGTCGAGACCTCCCTAATCGGAACCAAAGGAAGAAGAAGCGCTCTTGCTAGATGTCCGCGCGCCAAATTGTCAGTCAGATGTCCATGTAGCTCAGGGTTCACAACCGCACGAAGCCCGCTTAGCCCGACACGTGCACGCCCGCCCGGTGGATGCGGCCCGGCTGCACGTCCGAAGAGGAAGGTTGTACGGCCGCACAG